CACACACATATATATACACACACACACACTCCCCATGTATAACAGGACTTAGTAGGTTTAAGAGGTCTTTAAAAGACTTTGGAACAAGTATTACAAAATGAAACAAGGAAAGGAACTTATTGTAGAAATATACAGAATCATTCCTCCAGGATTCAACTGAGAAAAACTGAGGAAAACAAGTCAGAAAGATACCTGATGAGACAGTCTGGATAGACATGGCGACATCAGCTACCACAAGGCAGGCAAAGCCTTGGCAAGATTCATAGAGAACTGAAAGCACAAGAACGACCAGCAAGAAGAGGGAAGTGATGTGTTTTCAGTTGAAATAAGACACGGATAAAATTTCACTTTGCCTCTGAAGAATTTTGTCCTTTTTCAGTAAATCCTTAAGTGCTTCTTTATCTACATCCTGCAGAGCTTCAGGGGGAAGTTCTCTGTGATGAGATGATCATCATGCAGAAGGACAACAATGTTAACTTCAAACTCTGGAAGAAGGGAAACAAAAGAACTCAAGTCAGGAGTTCTCTGTTACTCTGAATGGCAGCAGTAGGATGAGGCAGGCAGTTCCTGCTCTCTGCTGCAGCACTTCACAGACCACTCAATACCCTCAATTCTCTTGTGGCAGGGGACCCCAGGCAGATCCTTGCCACAGGCATCCCACACCTTGGAGCATTCCTAGACAACCGTGGGATTCCTCTGGATGTATTTCCGTATCACTGCAAAACCAGGACGTGCTCTTCTGGGCACCAGGCAGAGTTCAGAGATGCAAGATTAAGATGCTACGAGGAAGACGCCTCACAGCAACACGCACCGTTTAGAAGCGTGTAAGCGGAAGAGGTAGGGAGCAGACTCCTCCCCTGCTGTCGGCAGGTAACACAGCCTGACAGCCTTGCATTACGTGTGGCCTTATGAAGTTAAACACCAAAATACAACATACCTGAAAACTGTGAAAGAAAATTTTTAAAAGAAAAACCTACTCTTAAGACACTGTGTTGTTCAAAACCAAAATCAGTATTGGATCTGTAATCAATCCTAGAGACAGAATACAGTCAGGCAGAGCTAATAAATGAAGGGAACCAGAGATCAAAATAAACTGAAAATCACTGTCCTTTTTCAGAATCTTCATAACTATACTAAGACTGTTCCTAGAAATAAAAATAGATACTACACTATCACTGGCTGTTTATCACTGCAAATTACTGTTCTAGAAATGGCAAAAAGCAGAGAAGAATATTACTTTGGGGAAAATCACTGTACATATCGGGTGCAAAAATGCCCTTGGGGGAACAGATCAGCAGGTAGGCAAAGCTCAAAATCTGGTGGTGTGCATTTGTCCAAGATAAACAGCAGAAAAGTAGGAGGGGCTTCAGTTGGGAAGGATCCTAAAGGCAGTGACTTGTATATGCCCTCTGATACAATAAAATGACCAAAAAAACCCAACAGACTTCAGAAAGATGAAGAGAAGAAAAGCTGGCTAGCAAAGAGAATTTTTGCAGTACTTATTTGAACATGTGAGAAAAATCCTAAATTTCAGGTGTTTGTTAATGAAAATGTTGGATTTTGGCAGCAATAAGCAGAGAGAAGCAGCTGGTGTGGATCAAGAAAAGCAAAATCACAAAAAGCCTAGTGTTACTTTTTCTACTTGAGTCTGTGCAGCAGGAGAGTGGGAAACAAAAAGGAGTGGAAATGGCAGGAGGGGTTCTCGCTGGTGATGAAGAGAAGGAAGGGGCCATCTTGGCATTTTATTCTTGGACTATTACTCAAGTGTTTATTACACGTAATTTTTTGGCAACGTATCTCAGCTGAAAGATGCCGACGCAGCAGACAGTCCTGTGCACTTACCGACTTTGAAGTTTGTTGTTTCCAGGGTAGGGCAGGTGAACAACCTGGGGAACACCATGTATATAGGGATTGGTAGGCCCCTGCAGACATCCCCATCAGCAATCTGAATATTCTGTATCTCTGTGGCATCTCTGGCGTAACCTTCTGCACACCCTGGTGCCAGTGGGAAATTCAGGAGAGGAGGGGGGAAAAAAAGAAATAAGAGAAAGTAGTGGCCAAAATTTAAAACGAAGACACACAGGTGCTGGGGGCAAAACATTTTGTCCCTTGACCTGCAGGTTTTCACACTAGCACTTTTAAGTTAAGGATCATATGGATTAATTCAATTAATGCTTGGACTGTTCCACCTAAAGTGCAAATTAATTTTTTGCAAGACTTTTTAATTGCACGGCTTTTGACAAACTTGCATATTTAAGCAGCAAGAGTGCAAGTGGGAATTACTGCAGTGTAAACGCATTCTGTTCACAGAGAAACTTACCACAGGTTTCCACCCGTACCAACTGCAGCTCAATGCTTTTGACTGCAGCCTCTGCACTCTCCACCACCAGCTCCCCTGTTAGTGGCTGCGTAATGACACAGTTCGTAGAACTGAGATGACCTTTGATGAGAAATTTTGGAAGTGAGGCTCTCTGAAAAGATTGGGGTGGGGAAACAAACAAACAAACAAAGACACAACTGTAAAAGCAGACTAAGAAAAAATACCTTCCAGAAAGACAGTTACCAAAGTTTATAGAAAGTCTCAAAAAGTTACAAAGTTATAAATTAAAAAGTTCAGAAGTGCCTCAGGTAATTTAAATAATATAACTCTTCAAATATGCAGCCTTATGCAAACGGATTAAGCTATCTCTTACTGCCCTCTCCTCTGATATGCCCACTCCCATACTCATTCTATCCACAGGAGCGTATATCCTGGGATGAACTGGCAAAACCTGGCTGTTACAATGAATCCAGAGGTCAGGAACTGTGTGGTGAAGGAAACACGCTGGCAGGAACTAGCAGGATGGTCAAGGTAAATCAGCTGGCAGTGCTCCAGAGAACTGCATTCTGGTCCCATTTTGTTATGGGTTACAATACAGTCTATCATTTCAGTGATTTTTCTACCTTTTTAAACTTCTTTCTCCTGGCTGCCATTGGGAGGGAAGACAGGCATTTAAAAATCTTTGTTTAATGCAAGATGTAGCCTACTGCTTAGGTACCAAGACATCAATTAAGGACAATTAACGAAGAGCTTAATTTGAATACAGGATCAGACTTACCTTTAAAAATTTTCTTAACAGCAAGCAAGTTTCTTACTTTTTAAGGATGGAGCAGTAAGAATGGCTGATTGAGGATGACAGTCTATAAATCACTTCCCACAGAAGACCAAAGCAGGGGTTTTGCTCCCCATGGCCTCCCCGTCCTCAGGCCAGCAGGCATCACAGATACCCTCTGCCAGCACAGAAATGCACATGCTAGAACTTCTGGTTACACGTCCGTTCTTGCCGGAGACAGACTGAAGCAGTCACATTTTCTACCCACAACTTCAGCTGCTATCTTCACCATCCAACTTCAAACTCTTTGAGCATTCTGCTCTAACCTTCCCCTTCTTTTGCAAGCCGCCTTCTTCTCTCTGTCCTTAATTTTTTGTTACTGACATCTTTGATGTTAGCCCCTACCTTCCAACCATCTGTTCACACTCGCTTGTGGTGTCAGATTTCCTTGCCCAAGTAACTAATTTCCCCTTCTTCCAAACCAACTCTCTTGTCACAAACTTTTTTCCTCCCAATCTGTTTGTTTTTCTTCTCAGTCCTGGCTGCCAGTAGCAATGGCAGAAAAGTTCTCCTCAGCTACTGTTTAGACTGCTTCACTCAGATACCCAACACCTCTGCAGAATTTAGCTGTTCAACTCAAAACAAATCTTCAGGGGAAATAAAGAGAGAGGAATTTTTATGTGTTTAGTAAATGTGACTTCACTGGGTACTTTTTCCTAACCTAAATAACAGAAGTTACAACTCTCACAAAACCACCCTATGAAATATTAACTCCTAATAATGTATTAGTAAAATGCTTTTTTATTGTATGATCTCTAGGAGTTTCTTCTCATCACCACTATTAGTAACCAGAGTTACTCCCCTGCTTCACAGGGGAGCTATCCCCTGAAGTACAGTGGTCAGGAAACTAAGACAGAGATCAAAAGAATTTGCAGAACAAGGACTCAAGGCCATTTTCCTAAATCCTAGTCCACAAGATCTGGAGTTTTTTTTATATGTATACTTCCCCTAGAGCCTTACTACTCTTGTCAGTACTCTTCATATTCTAATCCTAGCTAGGTCATCTCTCCATAAAAACGAGAACCAAGAACATACAAGCAAATCTATCCTGGTTTTTCATCTAACATCTTCGTGCTTTGCTTGGCTACTGCAAACCTCTTGATCAGTATTCTAGTAGTCTACCAGAAATCATAGTTCAGTCACAATCTCTAATAAAGAGAGAGTTGAAATTTTAATATTTTGCATACACCAAACAGTGACTTTTTCTACTTGTCCACCAGGTAGTCAATCAGACCCAATGGACAGGACTTCCTTATGATGCACACCACTGAGTCTTTGCTAGGCCAGGGAGTACTACAATACATAAGAGAAAGAAGAAACAGCAAATAATTTATATGGTTCACACGAAGAGCAGACTGCTGAGACCTTAGTATTCAGCAGTAGTCTCAAAAGCATTTATTATATCCTTGTATTTGGAAAAACACATGCTTTCAGTGTAGCAGCAATGTTCAGAGACATAAGAAGGTTCTGGACACAACCTGCTCATCCTCTAACTCAGCTGGGTTTAGAGTTCAGCCATGACAGCTGGTTGGTTTTCTAGAATCACCTCCTCCATGCTCAAGAATGGCCTATTCCAACATGCAGAAAGTCAAGCAAAGGTAGGAAGAGACCTGCATAGATGAAGAAGATGCTACTCATAAAATCATAAAAAGGAAGAACAGAAAAGATGGAAGTAGGGTCAGGTGATCTAGTAGGATCAGGATTGTTTTCACAAAAACACTATCTAAGTGTACAAGGATCTTCTTGGGAAAGCCAAAGCCCACATGGAGCTAAATCAAGAGACCTGAAGGGCAACAAAAAGGGACATCTAAAAGACTACCAGCTGCAAAAGGAAGACCAGGGTAAAATTTCAGCCTGCTACTGAATATGGCAAGAGACCTAGTGACAAAAGACATGAAAGAGACAGAGGTACTTAAGGTCTTCTCTGCCTTGGTCTTTACTGATGAGATTTGCCATAGGGAATCCCAGGCCCCTGCAGCCACAGGGAAAGACTGGAGCAAGGAGGAGTTATGCTTGGTAGAGCAGGAGCACATTAGAGAACATTTAAACAGACTGGATGTACACAAGCCCATGGGACCCAATGGGATGCACCCACAAGTGTGGAGGAAGCTGCTCCATGTCACCATGAGGCCAATCGTGACTATCTTTGGAAGGCTGTAATGAACAAAGAAGGTTCCTGAGAAATGGAAGATAGCAAATGTCACTGTTATCTTAAGATCATCTGAGGAACTATAGGCGCGTCAGCCCAGCTTCAATCCCTGGGAAAGCGATGGAGCAAATAATCCTGGAAGCCATTTCCAAACACATAAAAGACAAGAAAGTGATTTGAAGCAGTCAGCACAGATTTACGAAAATTAAATCACGCTTAAGTGACCTGATAGACTTCTATGATGAAATGACTCGCTTGGTGGACAAGTGGAGAGCAGTGGATACTGTTTATATTGGCTTCAACGTTGTTTTGATACTGTTTCTCCTACCAACCTCACTGCAAACTGACTAGACGTACAGATTAGACACTGTGGTGGACTGAGAACAGCCTGAACTGCTGCACTCAAAGGGCTGTGATCCGTAGCACAAAGTTCAGCTGAAGGTCAGTCACCAGCGGTGCACACCAGTGACTGGGGCCAATACAGGAGCCAACACTACTTCATATCTTCAATAATGGCTGGGATGATGGGACAGAGTGCATCCTCAGCAAGCCTACAGACAACACAGAACTGGAAGGAGTGGTTAGTGAACAAGATAGCTGTGCTGGCCCTCACAGGGACCTCAACAGGCGGACAAATGGGCCTACAGCATCCTTGACCTGCATTAGAAAGTGTTGACAACAGGTTGAGGGAAGTGATTCTCCCCATCTCTTTCAGCACTGGTGAGACAAAACTGGGGACAGTGTGTCCAATTCAGGACTTCCCAGTACAAGAAACACAGACTTACTGGAGCAAGTGCAGCCTTTGCTGGATTTGGCCATGAAGACAGTCAAGAGCATGTGACATACAAGACGAGGCTGAGAGCTGGAACTGTCCCACCTGCAGAACAGAAGGCTCAGGGGGACCTGATAAATACCTGAAATACCTGATGGGAAGGAATAAAGAAGATGGAGTCAAGAATCCTCTCAGTGGTATCTAGTGAAAGAACAAGAGGCTATGGGAACAAATCAAAATAAAGAAGGTTATTTATTTATTAATCCTGTGAGTGTGGTCAAACACTGTAACACTGCTGAGTGGCTGCAAGTCTCCCTCCTTTGAGATACTGAAAACTTGACTACACATGGCCCTGAGCAACCTGCTCTAGATGGCTCTGCTCTGAGCAAAGGGGCTGGACCAACCGATCTCTAGAGATCCTTTCCAACCACAATGATTCTGTAAATATGTAGAATAAGGTCCACAACAGCATGAAACAACCAAACTGCTGGTTAAGAGAGAGATCTGTTTTGAGAAACAAGTGGTAGAGTAGGTCTAAATTCAGAAGTTTGGGTCTAAGAGCAATAGAAGACAAATTTGGGATGCAGAAGGGAGACCTAGAGCAGGAAAATTTCTTATTAACAGAAAGAGCACAACAGAAAAATCTGGAAAAACAAAACACAGGCTTCAGTGGGCAAACAGAAACCAGTGTTCAGAAAGCTAAATGAGCAAGACAGCTACTACTGTTCATATATGCTTCTCAAAGCCATGTCAGGCTATAAAAAAAGGCATAACTGAAGATCACTATATACATCTTTAAAGGATCTTGGCTACACATGGCACAGAATGTTTTCCATTGCTCCACTGCCATCTTTCACTTATAAAAATGATAAAAATATTTAACCATTACTGAACAAAGTTCCACCTTACATTAGTCACCACTATCACGAGAGATCAGGCAGAACCACTTTATTGCTTACAAAAGCAAAAAACAAAATGGAGCAAGGGGCAGGAGGGAAGAATTTATTATCTGCAGGGCAGCATTTCGTCATCCCTTTCTTGTTCTCACTCAATCACACAGGCATTACATCTAAAATAAAACAATAAGGAAACTCTTACCTCTTTAACATTTTGCAAAGTTTCAGGAGTAATTGTGAAGTCTACTGGGCTTGGCATCAGTTTCCCTTTCTGTGACTGCAAGTAATGGAAGAGTTAAACTGTAAACTGTGATTTACAAAACACACACCAAGACTACTAAAAAAAGACTGCAAAAGTCAAGCAGCTATTGGATGTGTTAGCTTTCAGGATTGTCTTCATACTGAAAGTATGTATCTATGTAATAAAAACTCCTAAGATTTCCTGTCCTTGTTAATAAATAACAATTTAGACAACTATGATATTGCCTAAATACAAGTCGCAATGCATCACAAATCTGAATTGTAGAAACAGAACTGTGTAAATTTTTTGTTACCTTGTATTTTCCACTGCAATACACCACAACAAGCTCTCTATTTGTAGGGAGAGAAAAAAACAACCACCACCAAACAAAAAACCTAACCCAAAACGTGGTTGACTACTTGAAACCACCTGGAAAAGAAGAAATACACTGCCTAACTGAAGCATATGTTGTGCTATAGAAAAAAGTTAAATTTCACATTTCTGTATTTACAAATAATTACAATTTATATGTCACTTGCAATGTTTCCTTTCATTATTAATACTTATACATTGGGGCAGGGGAGAGAGGGAGATTATAAATGAACTTGCTCTATTGCTTCAAGCATGTTTTATAAATTCTCCCTCCCTCTTGTTATCTCTGAGCACTTCGAACTCTTTCTGCTACCCTTTCAACTACAGCTCAGGTCTCCTAAGCCATCCTCGTATTACTGGGAGATGCTCAGCTGACAGGATCTAGTGCAGAGTTGATTTAATGGGCTCAGTATTCCAATTTCTTTAACTGCAAAATAAACAAAACATAGCCCAGGTTAGCTTTCCACACAGGAGAAGCAATTCTGGGGGCATATTATAGTTGTTCAGTATCTATTCACACCATTTATCACAAAACCAAGAAGTTAAACCTCTGTAATGGGCCCTGAGCTCTGCCGAGATGGCAGCCTGTACTCCACATCAAGCTTTGCTTACCATTCACTGACCTCCCTTCTCCATCCTTATCTCAGTGAGGCGTTCTGTCTTTTTCCTAA